AAACAATTACCTTAGGGTGAGGCATCGTGGGAGATCTCATTCTCCTTACACCTTGGAGTGTCCTTCTGGTGACGTTAAATCTGGAGGGCAGCAGAGACACCAAAGGCCCGCATAGGTAACAGCAGGGGTCGTGGGGCTAGAGAACAGAGCCAATCAAGGACGATGGACAATTCCAGCAAATAGCTCAGCCTTGGTCCACCAGCCAAACCAGGACTCTATCTTCTCTCCATCAGCAGCACCCAAATTGCTCTCAGTCTGTTTCCTTCATTGTGCTATTGTACTTCAATGCACTATTACCTTTTGGGGAATAACCTCACTGGGCTATTGGGAGGGTCCATTCAGATAATGCTGTGTCATTTCAATTAAGAACATCTTTCTGGCTTCTGTCCAAAGATGACTGAGCCCCTGGAGGGCTCAGTCAGTTAAGCATCTGACTCTAGACTTCTGCTCAAGTCATGATCTCAGGTTCATGAGCTCAGCTGGGAGTCTGCTGAAGATTCTCTACCTCTGTCCCTACCCTCCCCCCACCACCCCTGCTCATGAGTGTGTGCACTCTGTCTCTCTAAAATAAATAAATAAAGCTTAAAATTAAAAAAAAAAAAAAAAGACATCAGAGAGTCAATGTACAGCTCCAACCTTCCATTCCAACCTTCCATTCCAGATCCTGGGGTGGAACAGGTTTACCAGCTAGCACCTAAGTCTCCAGCTCTGAGTGCCCGTAGGTAATGGTCTGGCTGCCTGACGAGTGTTGCAAAGCACAGGCTCAAGTTAAGTCACTGACTGTGGGGGTTATCCTCCTGGTCTTACTGTCTCCAGTGTTCTCTCTCCTGGACACCCACCCTCGTCAGGACCAAGAGAACAAATTCTTCAATTCTCCCTCTTGAGTCACCGTCAAAAGGAGGCAATACCATTCTCCTGCTCAGTTACCATGGACTTGCAACATGGCAGGTGCAGGAAATACCTGGAGCCAGCTTTAAAGCCACCCAGGAACACCATCCCTGGGTGCTGAGCCCCCCAAACCCAGAGCCTCATCTCTTCTCAGTCTGGCCCCCTCTACCACTCCCAAAGCTGAAAGTAGAGTAAAGGCTTTGAACAGAATGGCCTTCCCTGGTTGCAGCCTGGTAGGCTCCAGGCGTGTTTAAGGCCCAGCTCAGACAGACCCTAGAGGATTGCTTCTCACCATTCTTTGACATTTGGAGCCACATAACTGTTCCTCATAATGGGCTGTCCTGTGCATTTTAGGATGGTTAGCAGTCTCTCTCTACCCATTAGATGCCAGTAGTACCCCCAACATCCAATTTTGATAATCAAAGATGTCTCTAGACATTGCCAAATAATCACCTACTGCCTATTCCACCCACTGGAGAAAGATTTCCTTTCCCATCTATTCATTCCTGTAATATGTAATATATAGTGTATATATATATATATATATATATATACACATATATATATATATGATATACAAATATCTCCCTTTTATCTTTTTTATGTCATCCTATTTCATCTCTACCTGTCTCTCTCCTGGGCAGATCTTATTTTCTCCAAGGCAAGGCTATATCCTGAGCAGTGTTAAATCCCCAACACCTTGCACAGAGCAGGTGCGTAACAAGTCCAGTGGACTTCAGCGATGGCTTGGCGGATCCCAGGACATTTCAGAGATGAATAGAGATGACCTTGACCTAGATTTGTAACACTTCATTCCCTCCCAAATCGGGGTGGAAACCTGGATGGTATGTGCATTTATTGATGAGGGGGGAAAAAAACTACACTTTATTCTTTTTGCTGATAGAGATGTTCAAGAAAGTTTGGAGTTGTGTTGGAGATTACTTTCAGTAAGTTTCTAGTTTGAGATCTTGCTAAACCATACCCATGGGGTCTAAACTGCATATTCCAAGAGAAAAGACGAGAAGGAATACTCCCAAAGCCTCAAGGCATTGATTTACACTTGGTGAAACTCTCCCTAAATCTCATCTGACTTTACTTACAATAAAATGTCCTATGACTCCCCAATGGATAGATTAACAAGTGAAAACGTGCTTACCCTGAGCCGTGAGGGATTTGGATGAGCCATGGGTTAGAGGCCACTGTAATCAGGGACAGGAGGCACTGGAGCTCAGAGTCAGGTTCCAAAAGGATGGATGCTGAGTTGTCTCCAATGCTCTAGAGAAAAAGAAAAAAAAAAAAAAGAAAGAAAAGGAAAACATGAGAAAAGTGGATTTACTTTCTGTTGGATAAGCAATACCCTTCCCTCCAGCAAAATCTATGTAAATAACCTTGATATAGAACACCTCTGAAAGAAATTGACCTTCTAAGAGATAAATGGAGCCTTTGAGGAATTTTCTTAAGACTTTAAATGAGCTTGGAGAGTCTGTAGAAAAGTACCTCTGCCCCACCCTCTCCAGACTAATGAGTGTACGTGTGTGGGTGCCTGCACACATGGACTGGGCCTCTTTTCTCTGGTGGTCATTCAGATTGCCCTGCCTTTATGCTTGGGACTCAAGGGAGAGGTAGGTGATTTCAGTGGGACCAGAACCAATGATGGGATCCAAGAGCTCTATTTCTCCAAGTGTCCTCTGTACAGCTCGGGGCCCTCCACCCTAACCCACCAAGCCCTGGGGCAGCTGAAGAGTCCAGGCCCAACCCTCTCCCACTTGTTCTGGCAAAACAATGTCCTGCATAGACCCGTAAGCCCCAGAGCTTCTTGACTCCTTTCTCCAGTGGGGCTAAAAACAGTGTTCAAGTGAGAAGTGGGTGGAGTCAAGAGGGAGGGACTGGGCCACATGCAAGAACTCCCAGGAGACCCCCTTGAGTTAAACCTGCTTCTAAAGGTGAGAGCAGGTGTAGTCAGTAAGGGTCCTCAACTCCCAAACAAATACTTTCCTTTAGGCCACTGAGCCCAGAAATCTCCCATGAGAGCTAAGGCTGAGAGTGAACACACCAGGGAGAAGTAGTAAGTTACCCTCAAAACATTCACTATAAAGTACAAACCACTCCTCTCTGAAGTCATTTGCCTCCTTCCCCCATTCCTTGATCTCCCTTTTTCAATAATGGTAACTTCTTATCCTTCAGGCTGGAGGTTAAATGCCTTCCCCCTCAGAGTGCGGGAAGGGTCAGATGAGGGAGAGGCCTCAGAGAGGTCAGAGAGGCCTTCCGTGTCCACTCTGCCCTAAGTAAGTCCCTCCTGGGAATCATAATCATGGCTCCCTATGCATGTCCTTCATGACCCACCATGCTGTTATGTTTCTGGTGCAGGTATCTAACTCCCCCACTGAACTCTAAACTCCCTGAAGAAGATCATGTCCATCTTGCTCACCTGAGCTATGCCCATTCCGCATTCCCAGCTGTACTTGGGGAATAGCAGGCTCTTAATGAGTACTGTGAAATTCACTCATTCATCCATTAACCAATGAAGATTCTTCTCCAGAGAAGGTATTGATCAGTAGTAGAAGGAGGTAAGACCCTATGGTCTGCCAAGCCAGGGGTGCTGGGCTTAGTCTTCTTGGCTTTATGCCACAAAAGGTTAAAGGCCAAGCATGCCCACAGACCAAACATGTGATTCCTACTAACAATATGGTCTGTGGCTAAAACAAAAATATGACACCCATAATATGGTGTGACATTGCACCTAGAGCCATAACAAATCCCAGGTAACATGGTTTGCTAACGACAGTTTTTGCAACTGAATAATAAGGCTAGAATTTCAGAGTAAACTCTATGAATTCTAGAAAACATGGATGAGAGGCCAGGTATCTAGGAAAGGCCAGTTTTAGGGCTTCTACTGACTTGTAGGATCTCCACCTGAACTGAATGGTAACCCAAACTACCACCTGAGCGCCTCTCTCATGTTGGAGCTCAACCTGATATCAGCTCATATCTTTTGGGGAGGCTTTTATCCTCCAAGCTCAAAGTGTAATTTGCACAAAATATATTTAAGTGTCCATTCTTATTTTTTAAGATTATTTATTTGAGAGAGATAGCACGCATGCAGAGAGAGTGGGGTGAGGGACAGAGCGAGAGACTCTTCAAGCAGACTCTGTGCTGAGCGTGGAGCCAGACATGAGGCTCGATCTCACAACCCTGAGATCATGACCTGAGTCGGAGCCTTAGCCAAGTGAGCACTCCCCAGTGCCCCTATAAAGTGTCCATTATTAATGCCAAACCTCTATTAGACTAACCCAGACTTCACAGAGCATGAGAAGAAGTTAAGATTAAAGGGAAAAAGACATCAATAGGTTCTTGAAAGTGTCAGAGACAATCTTGACTGAATTTACCTATTGCCTACGATGGGCCTATACCCCTTGCTGCCTTGGGGAGCTAAGGAAAAACAAAATAACAGAACTCTGCATTCCCATCCCCACTTCACCTCTCCATGGTCATGTGTCTTGCCTTTGGCCCCTCCCTTGGACTGATATGCAAGAAGACTGGTCTGAAATGTGTGTAAAACCACAGTATCACCTGGAAATTGAAGAACAGAGCTTAATACATAGATAACATTTTGAACTTCTTTATCACTTCCCCAGTGCCAGGTCTGTCATCTACTATCTGGGTGTCCTCAGACAAGTTGTTTCATCTCCTGAGCCTTTGTTTCTTCATCTATAAAATAGAATAATAATGGTGCCCTTAATAAGGTGGCTATGAGAATTAAATGAGATAGTGCACAGAAACACAGACGGGAATAAGCTAAAGGGATACAACAGATAGACCTTAAATTATACAATGGCCCAAACACAAAAGATTTCTTGTTCACATGATAGACCCAGAAGTGTGAACCTGGTTCACCTTGGCCTTACTCCACATGGCGATTCAACGGCCCAGACTCACTCCATCTGTGGCTCTAGGACCATGTCGTCATCTGCATCAAGCCAGCAAAGGGAGGGAGTCAGGAGGATTCGTGACTTCTTTGGAAGGGTTCGGCCTAGAAATGACACACATCACTTCCCCTCACGGTGCCACGAAAAGACTTGGCCATACCTCACTGCAAGCGAGTCTGAGAAATATAATTTGGCCGCATGTCTGGTTACACCATATTCCTAGAGGGGGAGTGGGGACTGGATTCTGACAGCAAGCTTACATTCTCTGCCCCAGAGAATAAAGGTAAGCGACGGTCATCACTGCTCTTTTTGTTGGGTAAGCCGGCAGGTATTTGCCAGTCCCTTGAATGACCCAGTGAAAAAAAGAAAGCAGGTAAATAGATGTAGCAGGGTGGAAACAAGAAGATATGGGAGTAGAGCTGAGTTGAGAGAGGTAAGTGTAGGAGGGGAATATACATAATGGAAATGTGGGAGCAGCTCATGCTCACCACCTCAAGAAATGCTGTGAGGGACACCTGGATGGCTCAGTCAGGTAAGCCTCTGCCTTCAGCTCAGGTCATGATCCCAGGGTCCTGGAATCGAGTCCCACATCGGGCTCCTTGCTCAGCAGAGAGCCTGCTTCTACCTCTGCCTGCCACTCTCCCTGCCTGTGCGCTCTATCTCTATCTCTCTCTCCTCCTCATTCTCTGAAAAATAAGTAAATAAAGTCTTTAAAAAAGAAAGGAGGGAAGGAAGGAAGGAAAGAAAGAAAGAAAGAAATGCTATGACCAGAGCCTTCCCGGGACTCTTCACCAGGACCCCACAACAGACAGCTTGGTCTTCCAAGTCATGGCCTCCAAACAGGTTGAGAGTCCCCTTTTGATCCTCATACAGAGTGACAGAAAAACCCTCTCTTGCCTTAGACTTAAGGTTGTTTTAAGTCTTCAAGCTGAACTAATTTGCATTTTCAGCTTCTAGTGGGTTAAGGGCCAGAGGAAAAAGCCAGCCACTCTAATGGCATTGGAGGAGTGTGCTCAACTCTCGTGGATGGTAATTAGCATCCAGCTTCTTTCCTCTGCCCGTACAGTATTTTCAAATCAATTGCTCAGCATTAGTGATTCTGCTGGGATTGATTTAATAGTCTAATATGAAGTCTCAGCCCTTCTGTACAGGTTAATTACATGTGGTCTTATACATTCTAATTTAAAATACTGCCTTTGCAATTATCATCAGCACTAAAACGGAGCACTAGTAATGAAGCTGGGCTCAAATTTTTTTCTAGAAGTAATGAATTGAAAAACCAAAATGACTTTTAATTTCTTTGGCGCTTACCATTTCAATATCTCTTCTCTTCTGCAGGAAATATAAATCAGGGTCTCCTCCTTATTGCAGATTGTTATGAAAACAGGCAAGATTGCCCTAAAGACAGCAGAAGGCTTTGATTTTGAAATAGCCAAGACTTGATTGTGTGAATTTTTGACCGACCCAGAGGGCACTTCCTTTACCCTAATCCCCCAGTTAGGTATGTATTTCCACGTGAATTTATGTTTGACAAACACTTACATGGTATTTAACTGTTTGGTGGGTAATGTTCTAGAGCTTTACAAATATTAACTCTATGAAATACGGTATTAGTTATGGAACAAGTTATCCCAAAGGTATCAACTTAAGATAACAAGCATTTAGGGGCGCCTGGGTGGCTCAGTCGGATGGGCCTCTGACTCTTGGTTTCCACTCAGGTCATGATCTCATGGGTTGTGAGATGGAACCCCAAGCCCGGTTCCATGATCAACAGGGAGGTTCTCTCCCTCTGTCCTTCCCCACCACGTGTCCATTCTCTCTTTCTCTCTCAAATAAATAAATCTTTTTAATTAATTAGTTAATTAACTAAATATTAATTATCTCATAGTTTCTGTGGGTTGGGATCTGGGGAGAAGTTTGGTTGGGTGGTTCTGGCTCAGGGTCTCTCACAAGGATGGAACTTTGGCCAGAGCTGTTGTCATCTGGGACCAGAGGATCCACTTCCAAGGTTACTCATGTGGCTTCGGGCAGGTCCAAGTTCCTCCCAGCATGGGCCTCTCTACAGACTGCCTGAGCGTCTTCGCTTCCTGGCATCTGACTTGAGCAAGTAACCTGAGAATAAAGGAGGCAGAAAGACAGTAGAAACAAGAGAAGAAAGACAGCAACCAAAGTTGAGGCCACAGTATTTTTTATAACCTGAAAGCCAAGGGGCCGTGTCACTTCCAGTGTATTCTCTTGGTCACCCAGATGACCTCGTGTCAGTGTAAGAGAAGACACAAGGGCATGCAGGCCAGTAGGTGGGGATCACTAGGAGCCCGCTGGCTGCAAGCAGGTGTCATTATTTGGATTTACAGGTGAGGCAGCGATGGGTGAATTCACTTGTCTGAGGTCACTGTTAATAAATAGCAGAGCCAAGATTTGAATCCAACTCATCCTTCTGCCTCAAGAATCCAAACTCTGAACAACTACTCATGCAGAAAATGGTATATACTCATTTAACACAAGGTTCAAAAACAGCTTCTAGGCCGGCCAACAGTGTTTGTTCTAAATTAGTAGTTGATGGAAACCCTTTGCTGAGAATACAAGTTCTAAAGAAGTCGTCATCATCCAAACACATGGAGGACATTGGGAGAAGGAGAGGAGAAGTGGGGTGGGGGAAATCAGAGGGGGAGACAAACCATGAGAGACTGTGGACTCTGGGAAACAAACTGAGGGTTTTGGAGGGGAGGAGAGTGGGGGGTTGGGAGGATCTGGTGGTGGGTATTAAGGAGGGCACATATTGCATGGAACACTGAGTGTGGTGCATAAACAATGAATCTTGGAACACTGAAAAAATAAAATTAAATTAAATTCAAAAAAAAGAAAAATCTCCTTTCTGTCCCCTGGCCACTGTTGTGTGAGGTTAAATAACCCTATTTCCTGGGAATTTCTTCTTTTCTTGGAAAATCAATAAAACAGCCATTATTATCCCTAGATTCTTTCTATATATTGTACCTCCCATTGTACCAATAACCCATTTCTTCCTGTTCAACCCTCTGAAGAGACAAAGTCAGCTCTATGTAAGGACACTGCTTGTGCTAAAACCCATTCTTTTTTTTTTTAAGATTTTGTTTATTTATTTGATAGAGATCACAAGTAGGGAGAGAGGCAGGCAGAGAGAGAGGGGGAAGCAGGCTCCCTGTTGAGCAGAAAGCCCAATGTGGGGCTCCATCCCAGGACCCTGGGATCATGACCTGAGCCAAAGGCAGAGGCTTTAACCCACTGAGCCACCCAGGCGCCCCTAAAACACACTCTTAACCACACTTATCCTTCACATCCAAGGGGCACATTCCCCAGACACTGCAGAGGTCCTTAGTAGAGCTCTGGCTTCAGATGCATGTTTGGACATCCATGGACCAACCTTGCTCAGATCATCCTCGTCCAGGAAGGGCCCAGGTCTCTGAGCATATTCCATTCTAGGCACTTCACATATATTTCATTTAATTTTCCTGTATTCTATAAATATAATAACGATAATCGTAAATCACAGCTAAGAGAGACTGCAAGCTATGTGCCAGGCTCCACGTTAACTGCTTTATATACATTAATTCGTTTTATCATCAAACTGAGAGTTAAATTTAACTATTGTTCCCATGTGACAAATAAAGAACTGAAGCTCAGAAAGGTTAAATGACTGGCCCAAAGTCATACAGAAGTGGGAGTCAAACCTGAATATGTTTTGCTGTAAGAGTCGTCTTCTTTCTAACCATGTGAGGAAGCCTAGGAACCATCCTCCGTTTTATACAAAACAGCTGAGTGCTATTCCCCACCTACCCTGGGGCCTGTCCTTTAACAGCCAAATGGTCCATCTGAGGACTTTTTTAAATAAAGACAATTCCTCTTCTAGAAGAGATTCTGGGCCCAGGTGTTAAGATGCCTCTTTAAACTTTTCTCCACTAGAAATAAAACAATATATCAGGGGGTTAGCAGGTCTGCTTAAAGGACTAGATAATAAATATTTCCAGCTTTACTTCTGGGCCATATGGCCTCTCTCACAAATACTCAACTCTGCCATTATAGCAAAAGCAGCTATGAACAATATGTAAATTAATAAGCATGGCTGTGTTCCAATAAAACTTTATTTATGGACACGGAAACTGAATTTCATATAATTTTCTCAAGTAATGAAATATTCTTCTTCTGATTTCCTTTCAACCATTTAAAAATGTAAGATCCATTGTTAGCCCCAGGCCTTACAAAAACAGATGGCCATAGTTTCTTGGCCCCCATAATTTACAACAGAGGAAGTCGAATTCTCCCAATGAGTTGAGTGACTTGGAGTTTATCAAATCAACAAAAAGCCAATTCTTGGGAAACATATTGTCTACAGGGGTTGTTTTGAACATAAATGTACAGGGATAAAATAAAATGGAAGTAATTTCTCACTTTTCTCACTTTCCACACACTTTCCAAAAGATTGGCTGAGGAAAGTCAATGAGAGATGCGACATGCGTTCAGCGAATCAAGGCTTTGTGACAGAGACTCGGATTTCGCCTTATCTCTCCTATTAGATCATAACAGGAGCTGAGCCCTAGTCACCTGTATGTCCCTACACTGTCCCATTCCAGCCTCTTCCGGAACCTTAAACACACCAAGGGGCCATATTGCCCAAGCCAGAGAGAAAAGCACAAGACCTAGAGAGGGCTTTTTCTTTTTTTTTTTTTTTCCATTTTGTGGGTTCTGTTATGTGAAAAGTTTAACAAGGATATTGAAACCAAATCACATTTAGTTAAATATTTCAAAAAACATCTTATTGAAAAAGAATAAAATTATATAAAATTGGGTCTATACTGGAAAATCCTAGATATAGAAACCATGAATGCAGCAGGTTTTCAATAAATGTTAAATTAAAAAAGAAAAAAAGAAGAGTGGGAGGGGGTAGGTGGGGATGAAAGGAAAGGGATAGAGGAAGGAGGGAAGGAAGGAAGAACAGAAGCAAAAGGCAGAATATAGGCTATTTCTTACTAGGCTCTTCCCTAATGGGTTCAATAATATATTTAATAGGCAACAATTATCTAATAAAGTCAATGATTCACTCCTCATCATTTTTGAATAATGTACTATTTTTCAGAAATACCATCCTTACTTCCTGTTCAACAACCTATTATAATAACAAGGGAAATAATTTACATTTGTGTGTACACCCAAAACCACAACTTTTAAAATTTTAGGACTATCAAGATTATGTTCAGTCTTTTCATGCACTACATTCAACTGCCCCCTGGAACAGAGGATAAGATAATCCAGCTTCCCACAATACACAGTACAAGTTTCTGTGACAATGGAACCAACCCCACTAGACACCGGGGTTTGGAGGGCAGCGACTCTCTTATTCATTTCAGTACTCTGGGGACCTGGCACTAAAAGGCATTTGATAAATGTTTATTGAATAAACAAAAAGGCAAGTGAGGGAAATGTTTCACCTTAAGAGAATTAAAGCCTATTTTCTAACGACGCAGCAACACTTGAACAAGGCAAGTGTTCCTGGGAGATAAGAGACACCCAGGAGAATCAAACAGCAAGAAACAAAGGTGAGTGTTGCAAATGTCAGGGAGGGCAGCACCAGAGGGGTATTCCTGTACTTAGAACAAATGCTCCTGGTAAGAAGTAACTCCACAGTAATCCTTCTAAATGCACCTCTTTGCCTAAAAGGAGAAAATTTGTCTTAAATTGCCCCCATGCTTCCACAGGGTTAAGTTGGAACCAACATTTTCTAGCATAAGGAGAAAAGCAAGGGAGTCCAAACACCACTGTTAGATCAAAGTTGGAGCCACTATTAAAGTTGGGTTTTATTTTGCAAAGACCACCAACATGAAAAATAGCAATAATCACTGTTTCTAAGCGTGCGTCTGGGTTGTCCCTCCAGCTAATGTTCAATTCACTTCAGCCAGAATGATCTAATGCTTTTCTGACCTCCTGACCTTGTCTGAGTCTCAGTCAGTTGCCACCAAACAAATACCAGTCAGAAAGAGAAGCGTCATTAGTTTCCCTGTGTGTGGAAATCAGGGCCATGTTACAATCGGGGCACCTACAGGGCAGGGAAGGGGACTTTTGTATTAGGGAAGGGACACACTGCCTGGGCAGTGGTTTATTGGAGCACCAGTGTGAAGCCTCACCTCACACAACTCAGCCAAATCGTTACCTTGGCCAATGAGATGACCTAGTACACAAGGCCACGGGCTGGCTCCAGTCTCCTCCGGGGCCTGGCTTTGGAGAGGAAAAACAAATGGGGCTGTTACTTTTTATATTCACACTTTTCTACAGTTGTTTTTGTTCTGTTTTGTTTTGTTTTACAAGCAGAAGTTTCTTTATAATATATAAAATATATGCCCCTTTCTATCTAGCCTTATGATCTGAGAGAAATCATTGCTATTTTCTCATGCAACCTACTCCAACAGGGTAGTTAAGAGATATGGCCAAGACTGGCTGGCTAACCCCCAAATCCATTTCCTCTTCTTCCTGGTTCACGGCCGGACTACAGTTTCCAGCAGCCTTCACAGTAGCTGTGCCCATGAACGGAGTTCTAACCATGGACTGTGAATGGGAGTGGTATATACCACTGCTTCCAGATGGTGCCCATAAAACCATTCCCACACTATCATCTTCTTGTAGACAAGCACACTGACTCTGGAAACCATGTGTTGAAGATGGCGGAGTAACAAGATGGGAAAGGCTTGGGTTCCTGATGACTCCTTGGATGATAGCCACCTATCCATCATGAAGACTATCTCAGACATTCGATTAGTTTACCAAGGGCTGCTGTGACCAAAAAAAAAAAAAAAAAAAAAAAAAAAAAAAAAACCACACACACAGATTGGGTCACTTCAACTCTCACAGTTCTGGAGGCTAGAGGTCCAAGATCAAGGTGTTGTTAAAGTGGTTTCTCCTGAGGATTCTCTCCTTGGCTTGTAAATGGTTGCCTTCTCCCTGTGTCTTCACTTGGTCTTCCTTCTACGCCTGTCTGTGTCTTCATCTCCTTTTCTTATAAGAACATCAGTCGTAGTGGATTAGTGCCCCTCTTCCTAACCTCTTTTAAATTAATCACCTTGCTAAAGACCTTATCTCCAAATACAGTCCCATTCTGAGGTACTGGGGATTAGGATTTCAACATATGAGTTTCGGGAGGGACACATTCAGCCCATAACACACAGCCAAGCCCAACATCAATGAGACAGGGAAGTAGCAAAGATGGGAAAAGCATCAAGATAGGAGCCAAATAACATAATCTGCCACTGGCAACAATGATGATATGGTATAATCAGTGTCAAGAGGAAGTTTAACACACTGGGATAAAATTCAGAAATACCTGGCATTCAAACCCCTCCAAAATCTGACCTCTGATTATCTGACCTCAGCTTTATTCTATTACTATAGAATAGCATTGAATCCCTATACAAAGGGGCAATAACAAGTACTACATCATATGATGTAGTAGAAAGAGTATTCCCAGATTCCTAAGACCTGTTACTTTCTACATGAGATCCTTGTTTCTCTTCCAGCATGAGCCAAAAACCATCTGTGTGATCCCAGGGAAATCGTTCTCTTTCTCAGGATCTATAACCTGATTTCTAAGACGTGGAAACAGACTCTAAGGTCCCTAAGATTCTTTGACCCGGTTTCTTTTCTTTGCGATGTGTGTTCCATAGAACATTAGTCCCAAGAGATGCCAAGCAAATAAATGTTTCCATGAGCAAATCACTTGGAAAATGCTTCATACAATATCCCTTTTCCTAGAATACCAAAGGTTATGAAAAGTCCTGCAATAAAATTTAAAAAAAAATCCTGTTTTACTTCAACTGTTTCCCAGATGTACTTGGCCTAAGAATTTCTCCTTCTGCCCTTTGTAACATGGCCCAGAAGCAATGAACTAACTCCCTAAGTACACACAGGATTGGAGAGTTAGATTTGTTAACATCCACGTCCAGCCTCTCCTCCCTGCCCCAAGAAAGCGTGTTGCCTGGTGAATCCTTGCTTCTAAGCCAGGAAATCTCACAGACTAAGATGGGGTTACCTCTCTCAGGCTCTCTCAAGCCATACCCCAATCTTCCTTGCTGTCTCAGACCTTCACAAACAGAACAGAAAAGCACCAGGCATCCCACATGCCCATTGGCCCAAGGGGACTCCGTGCACTTATTCCAACTCAAAAGACTTTTTGCCTCTCCTTTCTGGAGATTCTCTTCAGTCTAGAGCATATTTTTGAAATCTCTTTGGTAATGGCACCTCTTTGTCCTTTGCAGGAGAGATCTGAGAATTGGAAACAATGAACGTCCCCAGGAACCAAGTCTGGGGAGTACCTTGGATGCTGAAGCTGAGAAAGAATGTTCCTGCCTCAGAAATGGAGGGTACGATCCACCTCATCTTTCAGTCAGCCTCATGCTCATCTGGCTCCCAGGTTTCAGGAAAAAGAAGAGTCACTCCAAATGAGATTGCCCGTGCATTCCGGGATCTCCACACACCATATGCTGAGTGGTCTGTGGCTCCCTTGAATGGCAAACAGTTATGTCCACTTGTTTGTTTTGTTCATTTGGCCCCTTGTCTGAACAGAGACACAGAATCCAGCGTCTCTTGCATCATGAGTTCTCATGGGGCCATTTGTGTTTCTGTTATCAGCTATTGTTCTGAATTCAGGACACTATTCCCAAATCATATGTTTTCATCCTTAATTGAACCAGGAGCCAACCAGACACCTCCCTGTCTTCCTCTCTCCCCTTATCCCCTGCACACCATCTCCCCATCTCTCTCTGGCTTTGATCTCAGGGTAAGAATTGTTTTGTTAACACCATCCCTGTTGTTCAGTAGTCAGCTTGCATTTCTTTTTTCCTTTCCTTCAGATAGTATTTAATTGCTTTAACACAACTTTTTCAAGGAGGCAGAGGAGTGTTCTTTGAAGACCCAAATTATCCTGAAAGCTGGACTCTCAATGTTGCGAAGATCTGTGCTGACTTTTAATCACCAGAACATGAAACAAAAGAGTTTTATACCACATTCTCTGACAGCATTTGAACTGTGGCTAAAGAACTAAAGCTTGTCAGAACCAGAAGGTCATTTGGAGTCATGAATTTTTAGTGGGTTCAAAACTTCTTTAGCTATGGGACTCATTTCTGGCAGAAGCTTCCAGAATCCCAGTTATCAAACAAAAGCAATGATGGGTTCTTGGGATAGTTTAAATCTTCAGACTGGCTTCACATGCTTCCTTGCTCACAAGTCTGAAGCATGTGAAGAATCCTCTGCTCCTGGATTTTGATCACAGCTTAAAAACATGGGCATTTTACGGAGGTCAAAAGTGAGGAAAGAGATTCAACTGGTACCTGACACAGCACAAAACAGAACCTTCACCACCTGGTTCTATACCAGGGGTAGCCATAAAGCCGGCTATGTATCTGAAATTCTGGGGAGTGGGTTAGAAGCACAGATTTGGAGGCTCCAGCCGCTTAGGGTTCTGGTGTAGTAGGTCTGGAATGAGAACTTGAAATCAACACTTTCTAAAAGTTCCCTCTGAGTCTGATGGAAATCCAAGCTTGGGAACCACTATAGTATCCAGTCCTCCATGTCCTGGTCCCAAAGTCCAGCTGGTTCTTCTCAGGAAAAGCAAAACCAACCCATAGAAGATCCTCGGTTTGCTCATGCTGTGATCATCAGTACAAATGACAGAGTGAATTGGGATGACTTTAGCCAGGTCCAAAAATTAGTTAGTGGGTTCAACAGGTTATTTACAAAGTACCATTCAGCAGGAATTTGGCCAGTTTTGTGTTCCTAGGTAACTGAGTGGCATTTTATGGGAATAATCTCCGAGCAGTAGTACCTGAAGACTGAACACGCTTTCTTTTACAAAGTGGCTTTCTATGCATTCCCTTTTTCAGTCCATTCAACAACCTGAAATATGGGTAAGGCAAGTCTTATTTTCCCTGTTTCACAGATGATATGACTGGGATTCACAGAAAAGAAATGGCACACTGAGAAAACAGAGTTAGTAGGGCTTGATCTAAAACCAAAATCTTGGATTCTAAATCCAATATGCCTCCTTAACGCATCCAAAAAAATAATAATAATAATAACCCATAGAACTACAGCTTCCTCTTTTCTGCTCACTCCAGCATAATCACAAATGGTATTATAAAATGGAAAACTCGATAACTCTAATAGCTATTAAAAAAACACTATTGATGCTCACAGCCAGGACCTCATGATGTTTATTCTAATGTCCTCATTTACTACTAAGCTATCATTATAAAATGAAAACCGTTCAACAGAATTGTATCCTTTGACTTCCCAAAATCAATTTCTACATAGGCTAGGAAGTACAGTAGTAGGCTAAAACTCAAAAATGGGAAGACTCTCCATCAGAAATTGTTCATCAACAACAACAATAAAAAATCAATATTTTATTTCAATTTTAAGAGGAAATAGAACTAGTTATGACTCAAAATAAAAGGAAACGCTACCTAAGAAATGTGAGCATTTCATACTCAGATTACATTCAAGGGAACCAGGTTAGCCACGGCCTGAGTAATTTAATGATTTTTCTTCTCATCATGATCAACTTTGCCTCAGTGGACTACAAAGAGGATGTTGCAATTTAATTGATTATTACCCTGGCTAAAGTCATTGTTCAGTCCCTGGGACTTCTCATTTCAGTCACATGGATGTTGCTGTTGTCACCCAGACAGGGAGTGAAAGTGGAGCAGAAAGCTTTGACGGAACCTGAGGATACTCAAACAACGTTCCCTCCTGGGGAGTGGGGAGAAGTCCCCAGGCACCAAAAATTTTACCTATCAGAAGGAAGTTTCCTATCCTCTCCCCTCCCCAATAAATCCCTCTGTTTCCCCCTTCTCCTGATCTTTGCCCTATATCTGTTTCCCTGATCCTCTTAAAAATAGTTCAGAAAGTCCTGTGCTGGGGTGCCAGGGTGGCTCAGGCCGTTAAGTATCTGACTCTGGGCTTCAGAGTCTAACTTTCTACATCCAGAATTTTATTTCTTCCCACAAACTGGAAAAGACATGCCTTGTCTATTGTAAGTGTTCACATCATAGGAGAATTCAAATACAGCTCAGATTCGGTCGATTTTAGGACCAGAAGTAATTGTCCCACTCTGTCGAATGCCGCCTGCCTGTAGATGTCCAAAGGTAATATTTTAAACATTTAGATTAAAGACCAGCAAGGTAATTGATGGAGAGAGTCACATCTTGGAAGAATGTAGCAACTCAGTCACTAACTTGAGAATAGCCAGTATAAGTCTAAGAAAATTCCCCTGTATTTGGCAGGGGATAGAGCCGCCAGGAGAAAACAGAAAAGATGCTTAATTGTTAGGGCTCCTTTTACCATTCAAATCATCTCCACTCCCAGGGTCATTACAAAATCACAGTCACCTCTTCTGCTTCCATGTGGGCTGTAACCAAGGGAGCAATTCCTACTCCCTCCCCACCACCACCCCATAAACGCATGGGGAGAATGGAAGAGAAGGGAGTTCAGGAATTTTCTCCTCTGTGTTCCCAGGAAGAGTGTCACCGGGACCCACTCTCCTGGGTTCAAAGGAGAGAACAGATTCCCAGGAAAAAGGCAGGGGGTGAGGGAGAGAGAGTCACTCTTCCCTCCCAGAGACAACACAATGAGCCTACGTCAAGAGCAGAAATTGGTTTCACAAACACGACAGATCTGAGAAACAAAATTGTCATCAGCTCATATGTTCCACCAATTTGATGTGGTTATAAAAGTAGAATAGCCTCCGGATAAAAACCTGGTTTCTGAGATCATGGGTCCTATTACAATAAAACTTCCCTGTAACAGTTTAGATCCAGGTATATGGAAAACACTTCACTTGCATAGTTTTTCCCAAGTGTATTAAAATTTTTATTTCATCCACAATAAAGCTTGTTTTCTCCCAGAAAGAGATATGAGAGTTTTAATAAGGGAGTGGCGTTGCAGTGGTTTCTAACTGTTTATGGGGGCCAGTTTTCTCCTGTACGCCAGGGACCAGGGACTCCTGCAGATGCAGAGAAGGTCACTCTCCATGAGTTTCCCATGATTAATCCTAGAACAGTCTAGGGACAAGCTAGGCATAATGTTCTGACTGCAGAGCTATCCTCTTTCACATGCTGCCTGCTCCAGGCCTTGGTCCCCTGTTATTCTAACAAAGGTTTAGTAAAGTCTGAAACCTAAGAGTTCTGGAAAAGCCCAGACAAGAGGGTCTTGTTAAGCCTCTCCTTTCTGGGCCCTTTTTCTTACTCTCTAGGCACTCAGTTTGCTTTCCATATCAAAATTTCCTCTCAGGGAAATGATCTCATGGCAGTCATTCACACTTTAGTGTGAATTCAAATACCTCCTTTTCTAAAAGCATTTTAACTTATACATCCTTCTAATTGTGAAAAAGAATATCTTGATTCTTAGAAGACTCTCAGGCATGTTCAATTACCCTTTGGGGAATGTAAGCAAGAAAGAAAGGGGTGCCTGGGTGGCTCAGTCAGTTAAGTGTCTGCCTTCGGCTCAGATCATGATTCCAGGGTCCTGGGATTGAGCTCCACATTGGGCTCCCTGCTCAGTAGGGAGCCTGATTCTCCCTCTCTCTGCCGCCCCTCCCCCCCCCACCACTCATGCTCTCTCTCTGCATCTCTCTCTGGCTCTCAAATACATAAAATCTTTTACAAAAATAAGTGAGAAGAAAGACTACTCCAGCTCCTTAAAATCTCACCATTTTCTGGGTGCATACTTAAAGCAAAAAGGCCACAGAAGCAGAGTCACCCTTCGAAGGATGGGTTCATGGTCACATCAGAGAGAAATCTATTTTCGAGCCATCTTTTAAATGGTTGCCTACCACACAGACCAATCCCATGTCTGTTCCCTTACAGCACTGCTTATTTCCCCCATGCTGATTGAACACCTTGCTGGAATAGGTCCCACACTCAAGGAAATAGTCTCACTAGCTGGAGAGTAAATATGGTATAGTACAATCACCTGTAACTTCCAGTGATGGGTTGCATATTTACAATTATTTTAATTATACCTGAAAGGACAAAGATCAGGAACAAGTGTCAGACATATGAATTGAAATTAATGATCATTTGTTAATGGAGTGAAAAGCCATTCATCATTTTATTAGAACTAATTCTTAAGACCATATGGAACCTTTTACCATGGAGTAAATTTCTATTCTTTTTAGAATGTTAAGATTTTGACTAATAAAATGCAAAGTACAGGGCTACCCAAGTAAAATTTCCTTGTATTAAATGTAGTAGTTACCAGTTAGTATGACAAAGTGTATCTGTTCCAGTAACGGAAGTATACAAATGGTGACCAGGATGCATCGTCCCTCCTACCTTCCTTCCTTCATCTATTTATACAGAAAATGTTTAGTGGGTGTCAAGTACTATGCTAGGTGAAGAGAGATGTAATAGCGAACAAAAGCAGAGATGATCCTAACAGATGTTAATGAGATAATTACACTCACAAATGTAAAATCACAACTGGAACAGGTGAGAAGCATGTGCAAAGGCCTCATGGCAGAGGGTATCCCAGAGCATGAAATG